CAAAAGAGAAAAATAAATTTGGGGAGTGACTAGCTGGTTAATAAGACAGCTTTAGAGAAAGGAATTTTGTATTTCCAAACCACAGCTTGATATAAAGTAATCAGGCTACTGGCCAAGGATGGAGTGCCTCTAACTGGAGCTGGTAAGAAGGTTTTGCAAATTTGATGAAAAGAATTTTACCATGACCTCTAAAATTCTATGATTCTGAGGAAAATGAAAAATACCTGGAATTCAAATTTCGCTTTAAGGCTTGCAAAGTGTTTTACTTTCTTCATATCATTTGATCCCCATGGTAACCTGTGAGACTGATGTTATAATTATTTCCATTCTGTAAAGAAGGAAACTGAGGCTCAGAAAATAAAATGATTTGTCCAGGGTCACAAAGCTAGTAAATGTTAGATGTTAGATTAGAACTTGTATCCTTTTTTTCAGTCTGATAACTCTTTTATTTGTTGCTAAATGACAACCATTTCTTTTTTCTTTTTTTATTAATTTATTTTGAATTATCAACAATCATTTCCATATGCTTTTGAGTTTAAAATTTTTCTCCCCCTCCCTCCCTACCTCCCTCCCCAAGACGGTGCACAGTCTGATACAGGCCACATGTATACATTTCTATTAAACATATTTTCACAGTAGTGATGTTGTAAGGTAGAATTAAAACTAATAGGAGGAACCACCAGAAAGAGGAAACAAAACATAACATAAGAAAAAAAATAGCAAATAGTATGCTTCAATCTGCATTCAAACTCCATAGTTCTTTCTTTGGATGTAGATAGCTTTTTCCATCATGAGGCCTTTGGAGATGTCTTAGATCCTTGTATTGCTGAGAAGGGTTAAGTCCATCCATATTAGTCATAGCATAACATGGCTGTTACCATGTACAACAGAACCTGTATCTTTTTGCCTTGGATGGATATGTTCCTGAATTAAAGTCCAGCACTCTATTCAGTACTCCTGGGCTGCTAAGTGACACAGTGGATAGAGCGCTAGGCTTGGAACCAGAAAGATTCATCTTCATAAGTTCAAATCTGGAATTAGATACTTACTAGCGTTGTGATTCTAGGAAAGTAATTAAACCCTATTTGCCTCAGTTTCCTCATCTATAAAAATGTTACAGAAGGAAATGGCAAAGCACCCCAGTATCTCTGCCAATAGAACCTCAAATGGGATCACGAACAGTCAGACAAAACTGAAAAATGATACATCAACAGTTCAGTACTCCAGACTGATTCAAAATAGAGGTGTAGTAGCATGGTCTCATAAGAATAGTGTTAGGACATGAATAATGTGGAAATATGTTTGATGAGATTGTACATGCATAACCTATATTAGATTGCATGCTGTCTTAGAGAGGGGAGGCAGTGTGAGAAAATTTAAAACTCATAATCTTATAAAAGTGAATGTTGAAAATTAAAAATAAATAAATTTTTAAAAAAAGAATAGTGTTAGGAGTGTTAAGTCTTAGAAAGACTTGAGGCTAGTTGGGAAAGCTAAGGACAACAAAAAAGATTTTCATTTAGTCATATGGGGAAAAGAACAGAATCAAATAAGAGCTAGAATGTCTATTCGACATGGATAGGGTAGTAATGGCCAAAACAGAGAGCGTCCTTGACCAACTTACTTTCCTTCTGTTTTCTTTGCCAAGGAGAATGATCTTTGGATTAGGGGGGAAAAATCATACTTGCTAAGACAGAGTTATACCCAAGAGAAATACAGAGCTAATAAGAGAGTCGCATGCTGTTTCCAAGGAAAAGATGGTTAAACGTGACAGTCTTGAAGGTCAGTGAATTAGAAATTCACTGAATTATCTTGGAGGTAGGAAATTCTTTTAAACTCCTATTAAATCTCTAATTCAGTGTCTGCATCACAAAACTTATTTCAGAGACTCTGACCCCAAATAACTGAAAGCAAATATGCTGGAAATTGGGGCAAAGCGCCTCATAAATACCACCTTAATTGGCATGATATAAAGCTAGAGCAAAAACAAAAGCGTAAATGAGGCAAGCAGGGCCATTCCTCTGTCCCTGGTCGATATTCTTTCCTTTATTGTGCATATCTGCCAGCAACAAAAATCTCTAGTCATAGCTAACACCCACTTCACTTGTCTTCCTAAACTCCCTACTTCTGTTTCCCAGATTTCCTCATCTGGATAGATCTTTTTTCTTTGTAGGGACTATTTTTGTCTTTCTCTGTACCCCCAGCACTTAGCACAGTGTTTGACACATACTAGGCTCTTAATATATGCTTGTTGACCGACAGGCTATAATGTTACTATTCCCTTCTCCCCATCTCCTTTTTTTTCATCCTTTCATCTTCCAGTTCTGGTTCTCTCCTAACCAGTGTCAGTGATGCCTCCATCACTTAGCATAGTACTTGACACATAATAGGTGCTTAATAAATGGTTATGGATTGATTGAGACCTGTGAAGTTAAATTCCCCCCCCATCCATTATTTGGTTTGCTTTGATAATTATCTACACATTGCATCTGGGTTTATGTTTTTTATTCCTAGAATCATAACTCTTAAATGTGGATATTTAAGTCTGGCAACTGACCTCTCACATCCTTCTCTGGATGCCAGCAAGATTGCCTCTTGTAGGAAGCGCAAGAGGGGAGATGAAGGGGCGTGCCATCCCATAAGCTCATCTGTTCAGTTATCTCCCTTTAAGAAGCAAGAGTTAAAAAGTAGACTTTATCATAAACAATTAGTGTACCCATACATACAGCTGGATTTGAAATTAGAAGACATGGAGTCTAATGTCAGATCTGCCACTCAAAGCCTAGGTGACCCCAAGTAAGTCACAAATTCCTCTGGGCCTCAATTTCCTCCTCTGTAGGATGATGGGTTTGGACTAAATGATCCCTACGTTCTCCTTTTGGCCCTAAAACTACGTAGATGAAAAAACAGAGCCATTTAAATGCCCAACAACCCTGTGAAGCGGTACTTGCTAGGATTCTTACCCCTATTTACAGACATGGAAACTGAGGCTCAATGGGGAAAGCAGAGGGATGGAATGGAAAGCCCATACAATTTGGGATGAGAAGACATGAGTTGGAATCTTGGCACTGATACTGACTAGCAGTGGGAGTGTAAGGAAGCCACGTCTCTTCTAGGGGCCTTGGTTTACTGCACAGAAAAGCGGGAGAGGGGGTAGATTAGATGGTATCTAAGGTCCCTTCCTTCTCTAAATCCCATTATTTATTTTTCCAGCAATTTTGAATAATCTACCTTCAGTCACATGATATAAAAGGAATTCAGAATTAGGGTAAGTCCGTGGATTAAACCAGCCACAAACCAGTATAGGGTCACTATTTCTCTATCCATTACATAAAGTCATTTCTGGTAGTTACAGAGAATAATCTCGTTTCTGTGCTTCCTGACACACACACAGAGCACAAATACCTGCACTCTGCTTATAATCTCAGATTCATCCTGCATACTTCTTATCGGTCCACAGCGGTTGGCATGCTGCCTCTTCCATTCAGCTGTGAGCTCTTAACAGAGCAAGCCCGGATTTTTGTCTTTCTTCTCACCCCCAGCATCTGGCACAGCGTCTGGCACCTCGATAAATGCTTGTTGCCTGGCTTGACTTGTGAATATCTTCAAGCGGAATCTGGTGGAGACAGACAAGAGACTGTCTCTTTCTTTACTGATTAAATTCTGCGATTTCCATGAGGGCAGGCACATTGTCCCATCTCAGCTTTGTTATCTGAGGCACCTGGGTGGTACAATGGATAGAACATTGGGCCTGGAGTCGGGAAGAACTGAGCTCAAATCTGACCTAAGAGACTAAGTTCTATTATTATATAAATGCTAGCTGTTATTATTATCATTGTCTCTCTTGTAAATATTATATAAATGCTCCCTGTTGATATTATGGGAGGCAGCAAGGTGGCTCAATGGATAGAGTCCTGGGACTGGAGTCAGGAAGACCTGAGTTCAAATTTGGCCTCAGACATTCACTAGCTGTGTGACCTTGGACAACTCACTTAACCTCCGTTTGATTTAATATGCAGGAGAAGGAAATGGCAAACCACTCCAGTATTTTTGCCAAGAAAACTCCATAGACAGTATTGGCGTGCTATGGTCCATGAGATCATAAAGAGTCAGATAAGACTGAACAGCAATTATTATTATTATCTCCCTTATAATTACCAAATCAATGCTTGCTATCAGTATCATCTCTCTTGTAAGTGCCACCTAGGGAAGCTAGGTGGCACACTGGATCGAGTACTGGGCCTGGAGTCAGGAAGATCTGAGTTCAAATGGGGCTATGTGACCCTGGGCAAGTCACTTGACCCTATTTGCCTTATTTTCCTCATCTGTAAAATGAGCTGGAAAAAGAAATGGCAAACCCATTGCAGTATGGTTGCCGAGAAAACCCCAAATGGGGTCATGAAGAGTCAGATACAACTGAAATGAAACTACAAGTGCCGTATAAACTCTAGCTATTATTATCATTATCTCTTTTGCCATCTGGGACTTCAGGAGGCAATTGGTCCAACTTCCACCTGGATGGATTCCCTTTTCTACAGCTTCCCCAAGAAGTGGTGGTCTGCTCTTGAGTGAAATACCTCCGAGCACAGGGAACTCACTACCTATGGGGGCTAGCTCAGGTTGGGGTAGGACTGGCTTCTATGGCCAAGGCACTTTCCTTCCCCAAGGTCTCATGGCACAGGCCGCACCCTCTTCAGGGCTCAAGATGGTGGATCCAGAGCCGGAAAAGAGTCAATTCCCTGATTCTGGGAATAAAGAAGCAAAGGCTTGGAGTAGGGAGCAAACTTTCCCAAAGTCACACAGCTAGTAATTAGTAGTAACATCTGGATTCAAACCCAGACCCGGAGACTTTAAACCCTCCCCAAGGGGGGGAGGAGCGGTCCCTCCCTTCCTGCTCCAGCCCCGCCTCCCCACGGGCTGCCTTTCCCTTTGGTGGGAGGAGGGGGCACACTTCCAGTGGCCGCTGTGGCTCTCTAGCACCCCCTAGAGGCAGAAGGTGGGCATCTCTCCTATCCCGGGCTTTTCTCAGACAGGTAGGTCTACCTGAGAGCTGGGCTGGTGGGGAGGGAGAGTGCAGGGCAGAGCACTCCCTGCCCAGGGACCTCGACCTCTGCGGGAGGCAGCCCCACCCCCGCCCCCCGTGGTTAGGCCAGCCAGAGACAGCTGAGGTCATGGAGCTGTGCCCCTCCCTTACACGGCCAAGGAAGGCTGCAGTCGGAAGACAGCACCTCAGACCACTGACTGCTGAAAGCCAGTGGGGACCTTAGACAAAGGACACACAAGTCAGGGCTGGGGGGCCCGGAGGGTGAAGACCAGAGGGGCCTAAGGTCAGGGCAGTCAGAACGTCAGGGCTGGGAGGGAGCCTAGAACCCAGGATGTCAGACCTGAAATGGGACCCCAGAGCATGGAATGTTAGAGCATAGAACGTCAGGGCTGGGAAGGAGTCTAGAACCCAGGATGCCAGGGCTGAAAAGGGACCCCAGAATATAGGGTGTTAGAACATAGAATGTTAGGGCTGGGAGGGAGCCTAGAACCCAGGATGTCAGGGCTGAAAAGGGACCCCAATATATGGGATGTTAGAACATAGAATGTCAGGGCTAGGAGGGACCTAGAACCCAGAATGTCAGACCCGAAATACGACCCCAGAGTATGGGATGTTAGAGCATAGAATGTCAGGGCTGGGAGGGAGCCTAGAACCCAGGATGTCAGGGCTGAAATGCGACCCCAGAGTATGGGATGTTAGAACATAGAATGTCAGGGCTAGGAGGGGGCCTAGAACCCAGGATGTCAGGGCTGGGAAGGAGCCTAGAACCCAGGATTTCAGGGCTGAAAAGAGACCCTGGAATATGGGATGTTAGAACATAGACTGTCAGTGCTGGGAAGGACCTTAGAACACAGACTATCAGACCTAAAAAGGGACCTCAGGACATAAAACATTATGACATAGAATGTCAAGGTTGGAAGGGACCTTAAGGAGGGAGCGTTAAAATGTAAGAGGTCAGCATTGGAGGAGACTTTAGAACATATAATGTCAAAGTTGAGGGACCTTAGAACACAACACCAGAACATCAAAGTTGGACTGCGCCTTAGAGTTTATCTTCAATGCCTTCTAGAGTCCAAAAAGGTTTAATTGACTTATCCAAGACCGCCTAAGTCACCCAGCTGTAGCACAGCTAGTTGAGGGCAGAGTGAGTAAAAGGCCTTCAAGACAGTGGTAGATTGATACAACAGCAACATAAGACATTATCTAAACCTAACCCTTTCCTCTTACAGGAAGGCCCCAGTTGTGCAAAGTGGCCAAGCGTATTTGAATTTGTACTATTTGAAATTATAATTATATAAAATAATTTGATTGTGAGCTCCTTGAGGTCAGAGACTGGGTTTTGCCTCTTTTTTTTATCACCAGTGCTTAGCACAATGCCTGGCACATAGTAGGCACTTAATGAATGTGTATTGATTGATTAAAATATGGTCATTGGTAATTGGTTCCAGCCCAATGGAAATATGCAGCCCTAGGTCAAATAATGTGAATGCTTCAGCACTTTCATTACAGCTATTTCTAAATTTATATGAACAAATGAATCCTCTGAAGTGATCCCATATATTTGAATTCACCCTATTTGAAATTATAATTATGTAAAATGTGATAATTGGTTCTAGTCTAGGGGAAATATGCACTGTGAATTCAAATAATCTTCACAGGATTCATTATTCATGCTAACCATGAATCTAGCTAGAGTCAAACTAATTATGACCTAGAGAGAGAAACTATAACTATAGAAACTGAGACCCAAAGAGGCCAGTGTTCCACCTGTAAGTCTTTGGTTAAGGTGTGTCATATTTCTAGGCCCAGGTTTTCCCCTATGCAAAGGGATGCTGCTAAACACAAAAATCAATAAGGTCCCTCTTAACTCTAAATCCAATGATCTCAAGTAGTTTGTCCAAGGTTAGCCAGCTGTTTAGGCCCTGAGCAGAATAGGAACCCGTGTCCCCTAACTCCTCTTTTCTACTACACATTTTCTGCTCCCTTAAAGAGGTCTCAGTTCTCCTGGGAGAGGGAGAAAGAGACAGAGACAGAGACAGAGACAGACAGAGAGACAGAGAGAGAGAGAGCTTAGAATTCAGTAGAAAAGAGAGATTCGTCCTCAGGGTCAGAATAACTCAGGGCTCTGGCTGGATGTCAAGGTGCCTACTGGTCCTTATTTCCAACTGAATCCCAAGTTCAGGGCTCTTCTGAAGTGGGAGTGTCTCTGTCTCAGTCTCATCTGGAAGCAGAGACTGGGGGCCCCAACAGAAGCTTATAAGATCCTAAGAGTCCCTAAGAGTCTTGGTGACACAAGGGTACTTCATCCTGGCCTAGGAGTAGGATCTAAGGAGACCGGTCCAAGAAGGAAAATTAATTCTCAGGCCAAGAAGGAAAATTAATTCTCTGGGAACCTGAGAGAAAAGGACCATGGTTGGAGAGAGGACGCCCTGGACGTATGGATGTAGGTGTATAATTAGGGAGGGACTTTATGCAGGCCTCCACCTCTCAGGAATCTCTTGGAGAAATGCATCTCCTGAGCTGGTCAGAAGTGGTCAGTGAATCTCTGTGTGCCTAAATCTAAATGAAGTTTTGATATCATCCCTTCTCAGGCCAGGACATCAGAGACCAGGCAGAGTTTTCTGAAGACTACTTCCCCAGAAAAATAGATGGGAAAAGTAGGGCATTAACTTCCTTGGGAAAGAACGCTAACCTCGGGATTCAGTTGGCAGTAAAGACCAGTAAGACACCTTGACATATCTGACCCAAGCTAAGCACCTGGACACCCATCTCTAAGCACAGACCAACGCATGCACAGGAATATTCTTTCTTCCCAAGAGCTTTGCTCCAATGGGTTGGTTTTTTTGTTTGTTTTGTTTTTTTTGTTTTTGGCTAGGCAATGGGGTTAAGTGACTTGCCCAGGGTCACACAGCTAGTAAGTGTTATGTGTCTGAGGCCAGATTTGCATTCGGGTCCTCCTGATTACAGGGCCAGTACTCTATCCACCACACCACCTAGCTGCCCTTCCAATGAGTTTTTCATCACTCTGTCACTGTAGGGACCTCCTTTATTGACCCAATGTGCTCCTCTGACAATATAAAATGAACGTACTGGTGTAGATGATTTCTGAAGGTCCCTTCCTACTCCCAAGTCACTCAGTCAGCCAGCCTACAAGCATTTATTAAGCATTCACTATGGGTCAGGCACCATTCTAAGCAAGAGGGATGCAAAGGAAAGTGAAAAACCAGATCCTGCCCCCAGAGAGCTCACACTCTAATGAGGGAGAGAGACAAGACAGAAGTAACTAAGTCTGTACAAGACATATACAGTGTAGACAGAAGGTAATTTGAAGGAAGGCAATGTCACCTGGAGGGAACCAGAAAAGGCCTATACAAGATGAGATTTGAATTAAGAAGCAGTAATGAGGACAGAGAGCATTCCACATGTGGGGGGTAACAAGTATAAAGGCATGGAGCTGAGAGAAGACAACTGCAGAATCCATCCGAGGAGGCCCATACAATATGCAATCAATCAATCAATCAATATACAAATAGGCGGAAGAGAAAGCAAGGGGAGGGACCGCATTTTCATTTCTCTTCTTTGTAGCCAAACATCCTCATAATTTCACAGGATTCATTTTCGGTTGTTCTGTTGCTGTGGTAGTTATTGTATACGCTGTTTTTATGGCTTTGCTTACTTCACTTTGTACTGCCTCATGGGTCTTCTCATTCTCTCTTCATCACGTTCATCGTTTCTTACAACACAGTAATATCCCTTTACATTCATGAACCATAAATTACTCAGCCATTCCCCAGTTAATGGGCACTGACTCCGTTTCCAGCTCTTTTCAATGATTAAAAAAAGAATTGCTATACGTATTTTGATGCATACTTTTTATTCTTTCTGGCTATGCCTCACAGCAGAATCTCTCTGGCAAAAGGTATGGGTGTTTTAGAAACTTAGCATGATTCTAAACTGCTTTCCAAAATGGTCAGACTACTTCAAAGCTCTACCAATGGTGTATTAGTATGCTGGTATATACACTGTCATTTGTACGTTTGCTTTTCTCATCCTTATCAATTTTCTATATGTAAAGCAAAATCTCAGAATTTATTTACATGTATTTTATTAGGTATTAGATCAACCTTTCATTTGGTTCTTTTTTAACTATTTTTTTTTCATCAGTGAAAATCCACCTTTTCTTTCACCTGCCCTGCCCCCACCAATTGAGAGTGAAAGAAAAACAAAATCCCTGTTACAAACATGTATAGTTAAACAAAACGAATTTCTACATTCTACATTTCTCTCTCTCCTCTCTCTCTCTCTCTCTCTCTCTCTCTCTCTCTCTCTCTCTCTCTTTCTCTTTCTCTGGATGGAGGTACATAAATGGATATAGAGAGCCACTTTCTATATTTATACATATATGGTATATATAAAGAGATGTATATGTATATATTATATATACATATATAATGTCATGTCCATATATATGTTTATTTGTGTGTGTATATATATGCAATATAAATGTGTGTGTGTGTGTGTGTGTGTGTGTGTGTGTATCAGGAGGTGGTTTCATTATTAGCTTTTTAGAATACTGGCTGGTCATTACACTGATCAGATTTCCTTATCCTTCCAAAGTTGTTTGTCTTTCCCATGTTGTTTTCGTTGTCTAAATTATTCTCCTGGTTCTGTTCATTTTACTCTGTATTATTTTATAGAAGTCTCCCCAGGTTTCTCTAAAACAATCTCCTTCATCATTTCTTACAGCACAGTAGCATTTCATCACATTTATATACCATAACTTGTCAAGCTAATTCCTAATTTATGAGCACCCTTTCAGAAGATGCCCATTCTTTGCCACCTCAAAAAGAACTAGAATATTTTTGTACATCCTTAGAGTTTGTTTTACTTAGAACAAATCCCTCCCTTAATCTACCTTCCCTCTAATTCTCCCTTCTCCTCTTTCCTTCCTATTTCCCAGTTGAATAAAATATATTTCTGTACCCAACCTCTGTGTGTGTGTGTGTGTGTATTCTTCCCTCTTATGACCAGTTCTGATTACAGTATGATTCACATGCCATTCCCCACCCCCTCCCTCCTCCTTGTTTGTCTAGATGTCTGTTCCCACACCAGGATTTTGAGAGATAATTTTCCCTAATCTTCCTTTCCCTTCCACCTATAGTGTATCCCTCTTCCCCTCTCTTTCCATTCTTCACTTAAGATCTTCAAGACACAACAGAACCCCTTCCAAACCCTGTCTAATTGGACTCTGTCTATGGACTCTGATGACAATAGGGTTAAGAAGGGACACATACATATTCAAAGGGGACAAATATCTCTCCATATTTCAATTTAAGCACTTTATCCTGGTCTAGTCCCTTATGATTGTTCCTTCATATTTGCCTTTTTCAGTTTCTCTTAACTCTTGTGTTTGAAAACTTCAGAGTTTCTACACAGCTCTGATCTTTTCATCAGAATGCTTGGAAGTCCCTTATTTCATTAAAGACCCATTTTCCCCCTCTCTAGCATTATATACTCAATTTTGCTGGGTAAGTTATTCTTGGTTATAATCCTATATCTATTGCCTTCTATAATATCATATTCCAAGCTCTTGCTCTTTAAAGTGGTGGCTGCTAAATCATGTGTGATCCTGACAGTAGTAGTTGAATTCTTTCTATAGGACTACTTTCATTATTTTTTCTTTGACTTGGAAGCTCTGTGTTTTGGCTATGATGTTCCTAGGAGTTTCATTTGGGTGTTTCTTTCTGGAGGAGTGACAAATGGATTCTTTCCATTTCCACTTTGCTTTCTGGGTTCTAAAAGATCTGGGCAGATTTCTTGAAATAATGCTGGCAAGACTTTTTTGTTTGTTTGTTTTGGCATTCAGGTAGCTCAGTGATTCTTAATTTTTTTTCTCCTCAATTTGTTTTCCACAGCAGCTGTTTTTGCCATGAGATCTCTTGTATTTTTTTTCTATTTTTTTGAGTCTTCTGATTTTGTTTTAATATTTCTTGTTGTCTCATGGAGTCATTAACTTCTATTTAGTCCATTCCAATTTTTAGGGAGTCTAATTGCATGGGCAAGGTTTATCTCTTGTGCCAAGCTGTTAATTCCCTTTCTGATTTTTTTCTTTTTTGATTTTTTTCTCTAGTACCCTGAATGAAATCATTATAATATAATAAAATATATTATTATATGAATTAATGAAATAATGTAATGACATCATTAATTTAAAAAATTTAACTTTGTTTAGCTATTGCTTCATCTCTTCCAGGAATTCTAGTTGAATTTGTGCCCAAGCTGTATTTTTCTTTAAAGCTTTGCTTTTAGATATTTTGGAGCCATTCTCAGCTTCTGAGATTATGTCTTTAGTGTCCTTGTCACTATAATAGCTCTTTATGGTGAGGTTCTTGTTTGTTTGTTTGCCCATTTTTCCAGCCCATCTCTTGACTTAGACTTGATGCTAGTATTGGGCTCTTCATGCTTCTGGAAGGAATGTCTGGGTTGTTCTTCATCGTGCTTTTTTGTAAGTATTATGTTGTATTATCCCAGGATATCAGAGACCCCTCAGGCTGGAGAACTTGCAAGCTTTAAGTGCTCAGTGCTAAGCCAGGGCAAAGTCTGATTGCTGCCTGCCCTGATCTGACTTCTGCAAGTTCCTGACCTGGGTTTGGGTCTCAGCAACAGTAGACTGCTAATAGATTCAGCCCCTACTATCCACGTGGGAAAATCCGCTGATTCAGAGTGGCAGAACTGCAGGTTCCCCTTTGTCCTGGGATTTCTGCCCTGATTTTTCCTCTACAGGCTCTCCTAGAAGCCGGAACCAAGATCTCACTCTGCTCCTGGGGTTTGTGCCACACTGCTGTTCCTTGTTGCTGACCTTTCTGTTCTCTCCTGTATAACACCTAGGTTCTTCAACTCATCCTTACCCTTCCTCAGTCTTCCCTTGACCTGTGACATGAGAGTGGGTAGTAGATGATAAAGCCACCAGTGGTTCAGGACGCGTCTGGAACCATTTTTACCCTGACGTACAGCCTTTCCCTGTGCTGAAATGCTTCATTATCGAGTTCAATTTTTTTCTGATTCTTCCTTAGCTAGTCTGTTCCACTGATAAATGTCTATATTTTTTAACCAGTGCCAAAAAGTTTTGATGACTATTGTTTTACAATATAATGTGAGAACCAGAAGTGCTATTCCCCTCTTGTTTCCTTTTTTCTTTCTTTCTTTATCTCCCTTGAAGATTCTAGAACTTTTATTCCTTCAAATGAATTTTGTCATTATTTATGTATTTATTTATTATTTTTGTTTATATATATCATTTCTATTTATATATAAATTTATATTATATATATAATTTATAATTATATATATATATATATATAAAATTATTATTTACTGGACACAATTAGCATCTGTAACTTCTTCAAGAATGTGGTGCCTGGGGGCAGCTAGGTGGCACAGTGGGTTAGAGGCCCTGGAGTCAAGAGGACCTGAGTTCAAATCCGATCTCAGACTAGATAATTGACACTTACTAGCTGTGTGACCCTGAGCAAGTCACTTAACTCCAATTGCCTAAAAAAAAGAATGTGGTACCTGGGGTGGTATTTTGGCATCTCTATGGCATAGAGGATTCCAAAATGGACCTCAGGCTAGCTCGTAAATTTGCTTGTGTTCCTGTCATAGACACATACATGGTGGCTAGTGGGGAAGTGAGTGTTCTAAGTATTAAAATTCTCTACTGTTAATTCATAAAAGATTTTACCTCATCACAGATTCTATTATCACTTTCTTCTTCTTCTCTTCTTCTTCTTCTTCTTCTTTCTTCTTTTTCTTCTTCCTTTCTTTCTTCTTTTTCTTCTCCTTCTTCTCCTCCTCTTCCTTCTCCTCCCCCCCTTCTTCTTTTTCCTCATCTTACTTCTCCTTTCTCTTCCTCTATATCAGGCATATAATTCTTTCTGGGGTGGAGTTTAGGGGAAGAATTGAAGAGATTTGGAGAAGGTGATTGACATTATGCTAGTCATATGACCTGTATAATTTTCTGTTTTCAAGATAATTCTGGAATTGCCTCCCAACTTGCATCTACACTTACCTCCCTGGCTAAGAGGTCAAAGACGACAACCTATTAGTCCTTATCCAGTGGCTTAAACTCTCAGAATTAGCACTAACTTTGTCTGAACATTATATAAATCTGCGTCCTGGTCAGAAGTAGGACTGTTAGCACGCAACCCTCGTACCTCCCAAGAGAATTCCACCGTGCCCAGACCTGCATCACCCAAGAGAATGGTCCACAGTTGCAAGAAGATTATGCTTACAATTCTGATATGTTGTGAGGTGTATTTATGTTCAGGTGAGCAGGTAATGGGAGGGAGGGGACACTGGGAGATAAAGGATCCAGAGTGTGGGTGGAGAATAGACCAACAGAAAGCCCAGGCCTGGGGCAGAGGAAAGGGAAGTGGGCAGGGAAGGGAGTCCTCTGAGGGTTCCTGTGTGAGTGACTGGGAGTACGGCAGTCATGCTCAAGAAACTGCCTGGATCCACATGGAGGCAAGATCTGAGAGATGAGCAAAGAGGAAGTGAATGGAAGGTCTTGGGGGGCGAGAGGACTGGCATGAACCAAGTGAGGTGGAACCAATCAGGGAACCGGGGAAGGTTCCCTGGCTTAGAACCAGATTGTAAAGAAGGGCCAAACTCAGATTTGTGCTATAAAAATAGTTATTATTTCATCACTCAAGTCTTACTCCAACTTTTATTTTGAATTTTTGGATTTCATTTTACAATTTCCCCGATGGGTCCTTCATTTCTTTTCCTTTGTATGTGTATGAGAGAGAGAGAGACAGACAGAGATGGAGACCAAGTCGAGATGGGGAGGGGTGGGGGCTAGAAGGGAGTGGCAGAGTCATCAGTTTCCGCATCTCCAGGGACTAATTCTTTTGATGTATTTATTATCTAACTAAATTTTTCATTTGGCATTTTTTCCATCCTGTCCACTGATACTTCAATATGAATTTCTAAAGTAATTTCATCTCTAAAGATTGCAGAAATCCTTTATTGACTTGTGATAGGGTTTTTCTTCTATTTCTTATTCTTTTTGGTTTGTTTGGCAATGGAAATTGGGGAAAGGGCACTCTCAAAAATTCTTCCTAGGTATGAGATGGAACTGCTACCAGAGAGTGAGAGATTTGAGTGATTTGGTCAGGCTGAAGGATAAGACAGCTGGGCACCCCCAGTGTTTGGATCGTGGTAGGAAGGAGAAATAGAATCCTTGCAGTGTTGGGAGAGATGTATGAAAGTATGAAGGAGCTTTCCAGAGTGGAGAGAAGAAAAGTTTGGGGCTTACAGCAAGGTCTCAGCATCCAGCAAAGATGTCCAACAGGCATGGGGTAGTGTCGGGCTTTCCAAGGGGAGCTTTGTTCTCCCCCCTCCTCCTCCCCCACCATCACCAATGCTGCTTTCTTTCTAAAGGCTGGGGCTCAGAGTCAGGGACTCTCAGCTCCTGGCTAGGAGCTGCTTTGGGCAGTAGGGCTGAATTTCAGTTCAGTGGGAGCCAGGTAAGCCAAGGAGCTCTCAAGGCTTTGGTCAGCTGAGGAGCAGTAGGGTTGAGTTGGCCCCCTGTGCTCAGGCCAGACACTAACTGAGGAGGAGGAGCCAGGAAGTAGTACCTACTGCTCTGCTAGGGTACCAGAGACCTCCCTGGCACTTTGAGTAGGCTCTGGGGGCCTAGCCATTTGACCAGGTGAGGGACACTCCTCAGCTCAGGTTGAGCGTGGGGGTCTAGAGACTAGACTTCCTGGGCTCTGTTATCAGGAGAATCCTGTGACTCAACTGCGAAGAGGGGTGGGAAAGAGCCAAAAAAGTGGAGGCAGCAGATGGTCCTTGTTTGGGGTAACAAGGGAAGGATCCTTACCCATAGGGTCAGTGGAAGCCGTGAGCCTACAAGGTAATAGCATGATGGCTCCTTAGGCCAGCATGTAATTGTAGTTACAGTTTCCACATCTCCAGGGATTTTGTTTGTTTCCAGTTATTTTCCTTTGTCTGTTTCCATCTTTTCATCCCTCCTTTTTGCCACTAGTGGGGAAGGGAGGGAACTGGGTATAGCTTCTTAATTGGTGAGGCCATCTGGAAAATACTCACTTCCCTAGCTTCTTACTGCTCTTCCATAGGGATGGTATTTGCTCTTCTCTAGTCTCTTCTGTTCCCCACACTTCTCCAGACATCAGTTCTGCGGGCTCAGCAGTCCTGGAACTGATACTCATCAAGGTTCATCCAGTGTACACTTACCATCTCCTTCTTGTCTTCTTGTGTTTCAACTCCTTGTTCACCATTTCTGTTCCATCTTTGGCTTGATGGACAGGGACAACAGAAGCAATCATTCTATTCAGTCAGGCAGTCATCCTATCCTTTCTCCAAGATGACCAAAAATCGAAAAGAAAGGGAGGAAAACATCTGTGAAGGGAGAAAGGCAGACAGGAGAGAGAGAGAGAGAGAGAGAGAGAGAGAGAGAGAGAGAGAGAGAGAGAGAGAGAGAGAGAGAGAGAGAGAGAAGGGAGAGATCTTGAGATGGGATAGAGGAAATAGAGGAGCAAAGAAACCAAGGAAGGATGGGAAAACTGAAATGATGAGAGAGAAATGAGGGGAGGGAAAAGGTAGGGAATGGCTAAACAAGCTGTGAGACTCCCTGAGGCTAGATCTGTCTTCCCAAGTGGGTCTGTATCTGCACAGGTCTGGGTAAAGAGGGTCCTCGGGAAATGTTTGGGGACAGGTGGATTTAGAGTTGAAAGTTGATGGGGCCCACACTTCTGCTTCTGTCTCATTCTCTCCCTAGGCCAGACTCTGATATGTCATAACTGCAACGACAGTGAGGATTGTACCCACCAAGAAACCTGTGCAGAAAATGAAAATGTCTGTATCTTGGAGATAATAAGTGAGTGTCTACTCTCCCTCTCAGCAGAAGCCCCATCACTGACCATATTCCTATTCCCCTTCCTTCTCCCATTCCCCATCTTCAAATATCCCAGATGTATGCTAAGCCCCAAAAGCCTTTGAGTTTTATGAGGAAGGATCCTAGCTGAAGGCAAGGCCCAGAACAAGGAGAACAACTCCGCTCCAAATTAGGAAGGTGACAGAAAGGGGTACCAGCCCCAAACAATCAGGAATTGCAACTGAGTCAAGAACAGAGGAACTCTATGGGGTCAAGACTCTGGGGCCTTTTCTTTGTGGGATAGGGTCACCCATGGAGGCTGGAGCCTTCCTCTGTGGGCCATGGTCCTTCTCTGTCTATTCCAGAAATGCCAAACCATACTGAAGTTCTTAAGAAATGTTTCACAAATTGTGAAGACTTCTTTGAGGAAGAGACCTTTGAGAAGGAAGACACCAGTACTACAAATGTACCCATCAACTCAAGCACAGTCAGAAAGGTACTACAAATGACTGATAAAAAAAACTTCCTGTTCAGACAAAAGACCTCCATGGAACATTCCATTCTGTGCTGTGATAGTGACCTGTGTAACCAGGCCAGAGTCCGGGGCCCAGGAGATACACATCTCGTCTTTGGGTTTCTACTCAGCTTTGTGTGGCTTATCCACTGTTCAGTTCTGTGACACCTCTGCCTACACCCTTCCAAAGACAGTTTTCTAAGGTAAAAATTTAAAAGCGCATTCATGGTCATTAAAGTAAGATTAATTAACGTAATGTGAAATGGTCTCTATTCTATTTTCCGAATGAATTTTCAGGTTCTAGAAGGTTAATCAGAGGAGTTCCTGCTCAATTTGCTGAGCTGAGAAGGAGGTGATCCTCTCTTTGGAATTCTGTAACTCATCCATTGAGGTTGAATTGGTTGACTCAATCACTTTGATCATTGGCACAGAGACCCTTCTGTCCCCTCACCCCCCAGGAACTGACTAACCAGCCATACTGCTATCAGCCCCAGAGGTGATAAACTGTTATGTCTGAACTATGGTAAAGTACTCAGAGTTCCTGGAAACTTAGCTCCTGTTCTGAGTACCTGAGCACAGCCCTAAAAGTCAGTGTCAGGGGCATGGGGCAGTCATGCCTTGTGGTTACCTTTCTAAGAAACTCATGGTTAATGGTTTTTATTTTTTATGCATATTAGTCATTTTGTACAAGAAGACTTAAATAAAAGAAAAAAATGAAGGTGAAAAAATAGCATGCTTCAGTCTGAATGAAATCAATATCAGTTCTTTCTCTGGAGACGGATAGTATGATTCACCATTAGTCCTTTGGGATTGTCTTGGATTGTTGTATTGCTGAGAATAGCTAAGTCATTCATAGTCCCTCATCAAACACTGTTGCTGTTCCTGTGTGCAATGTTCTCCTAATTCTGTTCATTTCACTATTCATCAGTTCGTATAAGCCTTTCCAGGTTTTTCTGAAATCATCCTGGTTGTCATTTCTTATAGCGCAATAATATTCCGTTACAATCATACACCACAGCTTGTTTAGCCATTCCCCAGTTGATGGGCATCCCTTTGATTTCCAAATCTTAGCCACCACAAAAAAAGCTGCCATAAATATTTTTGTACAAATAGATCCTTTTCACTTTTTTTGTATGTCTTTGGGATATAGACCTAACAATGGTATTGCTAGATCGAAGAGCATGGCCAGTTTTATAGCTGTTTAGGCATAGTTCCAAATTGCTTTCCAGAATGGTTGGATCAGTTCACAACTCCACCAGCAGTGCATTAGTGTCCCAGTTTTCTCATATCCCCTTTAACATCCAACATTTTCCCTTTTTGTCATATTAGCCATTCTGATAGGTGTGAGGTTGTACCTCAGAGTTGTTTTAATTTGCATTTCTCTGACCAATAGTGATTTAGAGTATTTTTTCATATGACTATAGATAGCTTTAATGTCTTCCTCTGAAAACTGCCTGTTCATATCCTTTGACCATTTATCAATTGGGGAATGACTTGTATTTTTACAAATTTGATTCAGTTCCATATATTTGAGAAATGAGGCCTTTATCAGAGATACTGAATTTCTCACAGTGATACCACAGGACAAAATTTAAGTATTTTCTTCTCAATATTGTGGCTTTAGTCCCTTGCTGCACCTCTAGTTGCAGAGGTCATCTTCTTGAGCCACTTTTTCACAAGAAGCTAGTGCTACCCAAGAACCCTGTACTCTCTTTCCCCACTCTTCTTACTAAAAAGCTGGTTCTAAAACCTATTAACCGTTAGGAGCTATTTTGCCCAGTTACATGCCACTGAATTTGACAGTCTAAATGAAATGGATAAGTATCTACCAAAAAAAGAATTACCCAGAGTAACAGAAGAAGAAATAAAATACTTAAATAACCCAATCTGGGGGAAAAAAATGAACAAACCATCAATGAACTTCCTAAGAAAAAACCCCCAGAACCAGATGGAATCACAAGCAAATTCTACTAAACATTTAAAAAACAATTAATCCCAATACTATGTTGGAAAAATAGGCAAAGAAGGAGTCCTACCAAATTCCTTTTATGATACAACATAGTGCTGACACCCAAACCAGGAAGAGCCAAAACAGAGAAAGAAAATTATAGCCCAATTTCCATAATGAATATTGTTGCAAAAATTTAAATAAAATACTAGCAAAGAGATCACAGCAATGTATCACAAGGATCATACACTATGACCAGTTGGGATTTACAGCAGGAACTTAGGGCTGGTTCAATATTAGGAAAATTATCAGCATAATTGACTATATCAATAACAAAACCAACAGAAATCATATAATTATCTCAATAGATGCATAAAAAACCTTTGACAAAATATCAGTACCCATTCCTATTACAAAAAAAAAAAAACACCAGAGAGCATAGGAATAAATGGAACTTAACTTAAAATGATAAGTAACATTTATTTAAAACCATCAGCAAGAATTATTTGTAATGGGGATAAGCTAGAAGCCTTCCTAGTATAATCAGAGGTAAAGCAAGAATGCCCATTATCATTTACAGATTAAACCAAACCACTAGCTTTACAGACAGATAAAGAGATCCAGACAGGGAAGTGACTTGCCCCAGCCATTTCTTAGATTCCAAATCCACTGCCCTTTTCTACTGCACCACACTACCTCCTTTCAATCATAGAACCTTTATTTAATATTGTACAAGAAATGTTAGTGATAGCAATAAGAGAAGAAAAAGAAATTAAAAGAGTTAGAATAGGCAATGAGGAAACAAAGCTATACTCTTTACATATGCTTTGTTATACTTAGAAAATCCTAGAGAATCAACTAAAAAACTACTTGAAATTATTAACAACTTTATCAAAGTTGCAAGATACAAAATAAACCCACATAAATCATCAGCATTTCTATATATTATCAACAAAGTCCAGCAGTAAGAGATAGAAAGAGAAATTCCATTTAAAATAAATTTAGACAACATAAAATATGTGGTAGTCTACCTGCTGAGACAAACCCAAGAACTATGTGAACATAACTACAAAACACTTTTCACACAAATACAATAAGATCTGAACAATTAGAAAAATGTTAATTGCTCATGGGTAAGCCAAGCCAATATAATAAAACTGACAATTCTACTTAATCTATTTATTCAGTTCCATACCAATCAAACTATCAAAAAAATATTTTATAGTGCTAGAAAAAAATAATAACAAAATTCGTCTGGAAGAACAGAGGCTCGAGTATATCAAAGGAATCAATGAAAAAAATGTGAAAGAAGGTGGTCTAGCCGCACCAGATCTCAGACTGTATTACAAAGTGGTAATTATCAAAACTGGATATCCAACTTCTTGAAATGTGTTCAGATCTGGCTTCAGACACTTACTAGCTGTGTAACCCTGGGAAAGTCACGTAACTCAAAAATGGGTATAATAATAGCACCTACCTTCCAGGGCTCTCCTGAGGATCCAATGAGATATTTGTAAAGTGCTTAAGAGGGTCGTTGGCACATAGTAAGCACTATGTAAATGCATATATCTTACCTTCCTCCCCATCTCTGAAGATACAAGGAAAGTAAAGCATGGGTGTGCTTCAATATAACCCTTTGCTACGTGTGTGTGTGTGTGTGTGTGTGTGTGTGTGTGTGTGTGTGTGTCTATGCAGGGTAAATGAAACACATTTAACGAATGGTTGCCAATTATTGTTGTTGTTGTAGCTCAGTCATTTTCAGTTGCATTTGACTCTTCATAACCCCATTTGGGAGCTTCTTGGCAGAGATACTAGAGTGGTTTTGCCATTTCCTTCTCCAGATCATTTTATAGATGAGGAAACTGAGGCAAACAGGGTTAAGTGACTTGCCCAAGGTCACACAGCTAATACGTCTCTGAGGCCAGATTTGAGCTGCATGAAGATGAGCCTTCTTGACTCCAAGCCCAGCATTCTATCTACTGTGTCGCCTAGCTGCTCAATGGTTGTCTCTGCCAGTTATGCAATGTCAAATCTAGCAGCATCGTGTATTAAATTTGTAGTTCGAGGATCCATGATTTCTTCTCTGATGATCCTCTGATACAGACAGCCATCATTCCTTGACTTCACGTGCAGTTTCATGAGCAAAAGTTAAGGATTTGGGTGGGACTCTGCATCTATATGATAACAAATGTTCTGTTCATGATGTGAACTGGAAAGTGGGTAGTAAGGGCTGGAGGAGTCTGTGGGTCTCCTCCTTGACCTCCCTGCTTTCTTCTTGCTGACCGCTGGCAGATTGGGGCATGGGAGGGAAACCTAGTCTTTGACTACCTGCCAATGGGACAGTAGAGGTGGCTAGTCCTCAGTGACAGGCTGACAAGGGGGTTATTTGATCTCAAGTCCTTAAATGTCCTTTCTGACCCTGAGGTCCCATGATTCAAAGAAGGTGGTGTGGTGCCGTAGAAAAGAGTGGATTTGGAGTCCAAGGACTGGCTTGGGCAAGTGACTTCCCTGCCTGGATCTCTTTATCTGTAAAGCTAGTGGTTTGGTTTAATCTATAAGACATTTTGCATTGCTGTTGTAGAGTCCTGACTTTTTGTAACCTCACTGGAGGTTTTCTTGGCAAAGATACTGGAGCGGTTTGCCATTTCCTTCTCCAGCTCATTTTACAGAAGAGGAAACTGAGGCAAACAGGGTTAAATAACTTGCTCAGGGTCACCCAGCTAGAATGTGTCTGGGTCCAGATTTGAATTCAGGTCTTCTGGACTCCAGGCCTGGCACTCTATCCGCTGCACCACCTCACTGCCCTACCTGACATGTGTGAGTACAAGGATCCTTCACTGTAGGTGAAGACTCATGTCTCCTCCTTCGTCTCCTCTATCCATCCCCAGATACTGCTCACAGGTTACCTTGACCTACCCACCCCAAGGCCAGGCATCCTCAAGACTTAGAGCAATAGTTCTCTCTGTGTCTCAACATATCTGCCAAAATTCATTGTCTTTCACTTGTGTCGTCTTTTTCATCTTATATGGATAATAAGAAGAATGTACATCCCTGAAGCCCATTGGCATGGGACTCTCTCACATTAGTCAAGATCACTGCTTTGCACCTGCATGTGGGGCAAGGGAGAGCTGGGGGAGAGAGAGAGACAGAGAGAGAGAGAGACAGAGAAGAGAGAAGGAGACAGAGACAAAGGAAAAAAGAAAGAGGAGAGAGAGAGAAGAGAGAGAGACAGAGGGAAGTTAGGGGCAGAGAGACAGAGACAGAGAGAGAAGGGAGAGACAGAGAGACAGAGAGAAAGGAGAGCTTCACTCTGCATTCCTTAGAGTTTTCTGAAGCACCTGAGTCTCTTCAGGCTTTTCAGTCACTTCTGGCTTCCAGCTTTGAAAGAGAAGACAGACAAGGCCCAGCCCACTTCAGGTTGCAAGAGGAAAAGATTCTGAGAAGCTGCCATTAGAGGAGCTGTGAGTCTCAGTCATTTCACCATCCCCAGTTTTCTACATAAGAA